CCCGGGCCGCGCTGGCCGCGCTGCGGGACGCCGGCGGGCTGCACCCGGGCGCCGCGCGGCTCCACGACCCCCCGGCCGGCCGGGGCGCGCGCCCCCGCGCCCCGCCGCTCCTCCTCCTCCTCCTCCTCTTCCTCCTCCTCGCCTCGCCTCGCGCGCTTTGCCCGGCAGCCGCGCCTCGAGCGCCTCTCCTGACGCGTGGCTGTGGGCGCCGTCAGAAGCGGGGCTGGCTGCTCCAGGAGGCGCGAGTGAGCAAAGCCAGGGCTTTAAAGGGGGCGCTCCCCGCAAAGCGAGCTCGGTTTCTCCCTCGCTTGCTCGGGGTGCGTGCGACTCTGCTAAGAGAGCCCTGGCCGCAGGCGCACCGGGGCGTCTGCCCACCTGCCTTTCCTGCAGGCCCCTCTTCCTCGAGCTGAACCAACTGCCAAGTGCTGGCCGCTCCGATTAAACAGGTCGTGCAGGTTTGCCACACCACAAAACCCTGTGAGGCCTCTTTATACACACCCCAAAGTGGAACATAAGCACTGGTCCCCTTTTCAAACCACACCTTCGGTTCTCAGGGGGGAAAAATACATGTCCCCTGCTTAAGTAGGACTTTCCCTGAAAATGCAGCTTGAAGATTTCAGTCGAAAGTTCTGCCTCACAGACATTTCAGTTCACACATGAGCGCCCTCCCACCGGATCGGGCCCTGAATCTGCAGCCTATTAACTCTAGAGCAATCTTACAGAGAAGTCTGTGGACTCACTCCAGCCTGGTGCAGATTTCCTGCGATTATTCTATTGGTGACATGCTAAACGATTAAAGAATGTAAATTAAAAGTTAACGTATTTAATATATTAAAAGCTGAAGATGCTCCGTGTTTGTATGATTTCGCAGCAATTCTTCCCATCAGGATTGTGTTTAACCACGGAGCTGCCCGTGCAAGTAATTGGTGAAGGCTCAGAAACTAGCTGGCGCTGAGACTGTGGGGGGGGGGGGGGGTTTTTTGCGGGATGCAAGAGCGGAGCAGGTCCCGCAGGGCCCGGGCAACGGCTCACTCACTGCTTGGTGGGGTGTGGAAAAGAGTTGCTAAACTTCATGGCTGCAGCAAAGTCCCCCAGCCCCCTCTTGCTGCTAGAGCACTGGGGTGGGGGGAGAGCACGTGGAGAGGGGCCTAGAAGCATGGAGGGGTCCCCCAAATGTGAGACGGGATCTGGGCTGCTGCTGGCCACCCCTGCAAAAGAGCCATCCGCATCACAAACCAAACCCAGTTTAGCTTTGGGCATCCCTTGCCCCAGGGAGCTCTGGGAGCTGTAGTTCCTGGGAACGCTCTGGCTGTGCCAGGAAGAGTGCTTGGCATAGGTGCAAGACTCCACCTCCCAGGCTCCCTTGGGATGGAGGTTGGGGGGGGTAAAGAGAGGCAGTGCATGTGAGGGCAGCTCAGTTTGGTAGCAAAGGTTCCCAAAGGGGAAGCCCAGCTCTGGGCATTGAGAGCAGGTGGGAAGCTAACCCAGGGAGACACAAGGGGGGAGTCGGTGCAGCGCGGGGCCACGAGGCTGGGGGCCATTTGCAGGGGAAGCCGCATGAGGCGAGACTGAGGGAACGGGGTCTCTTCAGCCCGGAGAAGGGGAGACTCAGAGGGGATATGTTGGCGGCATGCAGGTACATGAGGGGATGTCACACGGAGGTGGGGAGAGACCTGTTCTCCCCTGCAGAGGAAGGCAGGACACGCTCCAAGGGAGCAAAGCTCAGGGAGCCAAGGTTCAATCTGGATGACAGGAGGTGCTTCCTGACGGTCAGGACCCCGAGGGTGTGGAATGGGCTTCCCCGGGAGGTGGTTGAGGCCCCATCGGTGCGGGTGTTGAAGGACAGGCTGGACATGCACGTGGTGGGCATGTCATGAGTGGCGCCAACTGGAGCCGGGGCTCAGACTAGATGGCCTGGGAAGCCCCTTCTGACTCGCTCGGCTTCTTTGATTCCCACCTTGGGCTGAGCTGCCGCTCCCCCAGCTTCTCCTGTGCTGGTCAACCCCCACCTCTTCACCTTCAGGCCCCCAAAGTGCCATGTGTGGAGCTTTGCCACACACTGTTGTGCAGGTGCTGAAGCCTGCATGAGAGCTCCCAGCTTTCCCTGCTGTGGGAGAGTTTGTGTCAACACAGCTGTTTACCTTCAGCTCCTAGAGGAAGATCTGCTGACGTCGGCATGGAGCATCTGACAGGCAGAACTCCCAGGCAGCCCGGCCAGCTGAAGCCCCTGGTGAGGAACTGCTGATGTTGTCGAGTGTCACAAGGTGCCCCTCCGGGAGTCAGGGCCTGGTGGCGTTCGTGTGTCTCTGTCATCCAGCATGGCGGGAGGTGGCTGGCCCTGGAGAGAACATATCGCCGTCATGTCTAGCAGCCTTTTTGAGCGTGTGAATAATTGGTGCCCTTGAGAGCGTCAATAGCCTAGTGGATCCAGTCGGCGTGGATTACGTGGACTTCCAAAAGGCTTTTGACAAAGTCCCTCACCAAAGGCTCCTGGGCAAACGCAGCTGTCGTGGAATAACTGGGAGGCTCTCGAGAAAGATCAGAAAGATGAAAAACAGAAGACGGGCTGGGAGGAGACGCAGCTTCTCCCCATGGAGCCATGTCAGCAGCCGAGTCCCACAAGGCTCTGTGTGAGGACCACATCTCTTCAACCTCTTCAGCCGTGGGATGGGAGTAAGCTGTGAAGCGGCCGAGTTTGCTGATGATGCCAAACTCTGCAGGGTGGTCAAGACGCAAAGGGCTTGGTGAGGAGCTCCAAAGGGGCCTCTCCAAGCTGGGAGGGGGGCATCGAAACGGAAAGTGAGGAGTCGCGCATGCTGGGGCAAGGCACCCGATATTGGCTGATGGGGTCTGAGCTGGCGGTGACCGAGCAAGGAAGGGGCGCTGTGGGGGTGGCCGGCAGCTGGGTGAAAATGCCCCTCTGGGCGTGAACCTTCTGTGCGGGGCATAATTGGGAAAAGAATTGAAGATAAAACTGCCAATGTATAAAAACCTTTGGTGTGACCACGGGAGGAATATTGTGTCTGGATCCACTCTCTGCACCTGGAAACAGATGTTGCAAAGGATAAGGAATACAAGGGGCAACTGGGAGAAAATAGCATCAGTGTAGCGTAGCCCCAACTGCCCTCATTTAGGGGGTTCACAGACTTCCTCTGTGCTTACAAGCGGCCAGACAAGCCCCATTCAGATCCTTGGACCCAGCTGTGAACAGGAAAGCTCTCAAACCGGTCAAAATTAGAGTGAAAAGAGGCCAATGCCACACTGAGGAGATTTATTTATTTAAAGCATCTATATACCATCCAACTGCTAGCGTCTTGGGATGGTTTTACAACACAAAAAGAAATGGAGCACAGCATCCAATACTTCCAGTATAATGAAACTCACGTTAAAACCTATTACACATTAAAATAATGGGGAAATAAAAAGGGTTTTGCCTGGCCCTGGAAGGAACAAAGCGCTGGTGCCAGGAGGACCTCTGTTGGGAGCGCATTCCGCAACCGGGGTGCCACTGCCAAGAAGGCCCTGCTCTGGGTAGCCACCCTCCTAATCTCCAACAAGGAGGGCCTCTACCCCAGATCTTAAGGGGGGGCAGGCACTTAAGGAAGGTGGTGCTCCTTCAGGTATCCAGGACCCAAGCTGTTTATTATATGGAAACGACTGCTACTGGCTTATTTTTGGCAGGAGCTTTTGCACCATGAAACGTGTGCTCAGAAAATCAGCCCGTGATGATAGCAGGCGTCTGTGCATTTTTAAATCCGGGGAATTGCAGACAGGGAAAGCGGAGGCTGAGAGCAGTTCTCCAGGGTGCGTGCTGGGAGGTGCCTGGCTTTCCTCTGCCAAGACTGGCGCAGAACTGTGCCTTCATGCCCCGGGCTTGGAAGGAGGAATACCCTCCCGCCGTCCCACAGCGGACAGAAGGTCTCGGTGCTCTTGTGGATTCGGCCATGCCCTGGTCAAAGTCACATGGCTCCCCAGTTGGAGGCAGGGGCTGCTGCTATCAACGTGCTTGCAAGCTTTCCTGGAAGCAAAGATGACAAAACTGAGGCTGGAAAGCTTCAGACACACCAGGAGAATGACGCAATACCCCCTGGAGAAGGGCAGCCTTGCTCGGGAGTGGAAGGCAGGAGACCAAGATAAGAGATGGATCGAGTCTGTGAAGGAAGCCGCAACCTTGAGTTTGGAAACAGAGAAACAGGGTGAATCGGAAGGGGTCTCCCGGGCCATCTAGTCTGACCCCCGGCTCCAGCCGGCTCCGCTCACGACATGCCCACCATGTGGACGTCCAGCCTATCCTTGAACACCCGCACCAAAGGGGCTTCAACCACCTCCTGTGGAGCCCATTCCATGCCCTCGGGGTCCTAACTGTCAGGAAGTGCTTAGAATCATAGAAGAGCGGAGTTGAAAGGGGCCATGAAGGCCATCTAGTCCAACCCCCTACTGTTGCAGGACACCAAGTCACACCACCCCACTCAGAGGGCTGTCCAGCTCCTTTTTGGATGTCTCCAGTATGGGAGAGCCCCCCACCTCTCCAGGCAGCTGGTCCCACTGCCATATTGCTCTGACTGTGAGGAAGCTCTTCCTGGTGTCCAGCCTGAATCTGGGTTGTCCCAGCTTGACTTGATTACTCCGTGTCCTTCACTCTGGCACCAGCAAGAAGAGACCTTGGCCTTCCTCTTCGTGGCAGCCTTTGAGGTCCTTCTAGAGGGATATCATGTCCCCCCTCCGTCTTCTCTTCTCAGGGCTGAACATGCCCAGTTCTCTCAGTCTCTCCTCACAGGACAGCGCTTCCAAACCCTGGATCATTTTTGTTACTTCCTGGCACCCTCCCTAAATCTTGGTTCCCCGAGCTTTGCTCCATTGGAACGGTCCTGCCCTCCACCACAGGGGAAAGAAGGTCACGACCCACCTCTGCCTGGCAGCCCCACATGTACCTGCACGTGGCCAGCAGGTCCCCCTGCGTCTCCTCCGCTCCAGGCTGAAGAGGCCCGGATCCCTCAAGGGGAGGGGGCTGGAGGGTTTTTATTCTTGGGGTGACATTAAGTCAGAGAATTCTTGTCAGCGCATCACAACGACAAAATGGAAATGCTCAATCTTTCTCTCTCCTTTTTCTTCGTCTTTCTATATTAAGACTCTGATTACTGTATGCTGCATGTTTTATGAAGATTCCCCTTCCTTCTTTCTTTTGCTGCTGTTATTGTTGCCTTACCCTTAAAAAGGGTTTTCTTTAAAAAGTGCATGGGATCATACTGAAACACACACACATTTTTATTAGTTGCAGCTGTGGCATTTTGGAATTGCATAAATCCGATTTCACCCTTTGGCCACTGTGACTGGGGGGATTGTGCAACTCTGGACAGCGTGCGCCCTTCGTGGGCAGTTTGCCCGTTCGTGCCAATCAAAACAAGCACAATCGCTGCCGCAAACAGACCCAGAGAAGCCCCT